GTCCTACATTCCTTGGCACGTAGTGACCCTGGAATAGTCGTCAGACTGTATCCTTTTACAGTTTTTCTGTGGCCATTCAAGAGGTGACTCAATCTCTCCAATCACTCTTCTCCTTGGGGTAATATTTTCTGATCCTTCTAATGTCCCCCACACAGGGGTGAGGCACAGCTTTACTCAACAATCAAAGGACAGTTTTGTGAAGGACTCTGGTCTGTGGCTCTTGAACTCTGCAGTGTACTGACTAAGAGTGGAGCCAAACTTCCTGGGTTCAAATCCCAAGTCTGCGGTGTGCTGTGTAAGCTTATTAACCTCGGCTGGCCTCACAGGGTTGTGATGATAGGAAAAGCCTGTAGTAAAGGACTGCACAGAAGAAACCCTGCCAAAGAATGGCCAGAGTCTTAGCTGTTTTGGTTCCTGTGGTTCTAGACTCTTAGAATTGAAATCTGCCGCTCTTTATCTGCCCTGTGAGATGTAGTAAGCCCAACTTTCGGGAGATTGACAGGGTAGAAAATGGAAAGGAGTTAGTTTCTGCAGGATGAAGTAAGAACACAGGAGTCAAATAGCAATCTGAAGAGGAATTATGAAAGATGTTTTAAGAACATGGGATTAACTGCCAGTGAGTGACCGGACGGAAGAGACGAGGAGGAGCAGTCAGTTTGGATTTCAGGGTGGGTGGAGAAACATAAAGGAGGAAAGGTGGTCACTGAGCTAGCCCTTGAAGAGTGGAAATGTTTTCATCTATGGAAAGGGCTTCCTAGTTGAGTATTAACATGAGCAAAGTTTTTTGGAGGACAGAGTATTAATATTGTCTCAAAGTCCTACCTGAACCAAACCCAAAACCAAACCATTTGCTGCTAAGTTACAAAGTAGAACCGCTCCATAAGGTTTTCTTGGCTGTACTCATTACCGACCGAACAAGGCCCTTCTTCCATGGTACTTCCATGGGTAGGTTCATGTGCAGGGCAAATCTCACCCTCCGATAAGTTATTAATTTTGCAGGTATGTGGTGCCTTTCAGTGGCGAGATCTATACAGAGTCGCTATGAGTCAGAACTGACTAGATGGCACTTAACATCAACAAAGCAGGGATTTCCAAATGTCTTGGCATAGACAAGTGAGGTTTTCCAGTGCTCCATCTTTTCATTGAAACATTTCAGTTGGGATTCAGTCATGTCTTCAGTGCAGTATGGCTTTCCTCCATCAGTTCTTGATCATATGCTGCCTCCTGGAATGGTTAAATATTGATCAATTCCTTTTGGTACCGTGACTCTCTATATTCCTCCCTTCTTCTTTTGATATTATTTCCTGCATTATTAAGTGTCTTGTCCCTAGAATCCTTCAATATTGAAACTTGAAGCTGGGATTTTTTTCTTCAGTTCTTTAGCAACCTTTTGGTTTTCTAATCCCAGCTCTTCACATATTTCATGATAATTCTTTATCTTCTTGAGCTGCTCTTTGAAATCTCTGTTTAGCTCATTTCCTTGATCATTTCTCCCTTCCACTTTAGTTCTTCCGTATTCAGGAGCAAGTTTCAGAGTCTCTTCTGACATCCACGTTGGTCTTTTTTTCTTTTCTGTTTTTTTAATGATCTTTTTGCTATCTTCTTATCTGATATCTTTGATGTCATTCCACAGCACATTTGAGCTTTTGTTATCAATGTTCAGTTCATCAAATCCATTCTCGAGATGGTATCTAAAGTCAGAAGGAAGATATTCAGTCAAATCTGGCTCTCATGGACTTGTCATTTTCTTGAACTTCACCTTGGACTAGCATATGAGCAAACGGATGGTCTCTTCACAGCTGTTCCTTCCTCATTCTGGAACTTCTCCATAGTCTTCTTTTTACAGATATTGTTGATTTGATTCCTGTGTGTTCCATTAGGTGAAGGCCACATATTTAGTCTCTGCTGATGTTGTTGAAAAAAGGTATTTGCAATGAATAAGTCTTTTTGGTCTTTCAAAAATTCTATCATGTGATCTCCAGCATCATTTCTGTCACTATGGCCACATTTCCCAATTGCTGATTCCTTCTGGTTTGTGTCCAAATTGTGCATTCCAATCACCATAATCATCAATGTATCTTGATTACATGTTTCATCAATTTCATACTGCAGAAGTTAATAAAAAATCTTAAATTTCCTTATCTTTGGCATTAGTGGTTGCTGTGGAAATTTGAATAATAATTACAGTAACTGGATCTTCCTTGTAGGCATATGTCTATTTAGCAGTCACTGGCAGTGTTGTATTTCAGGAGAGATGCAGCTACCTGTCCAACTGACTGGAAGAGAGTCAGATATTCATATCCATTTCAAAGAAAGGTGATAAAACAGAAGGCAGAAATTATCAAGCAAAAGTATCAGTGTCCCGTGCAAATCAAATTTTGCTGAAGATAATTCAAAACCAGTTGTGGCAGTAAATCAGCAAGGAAATTCAAGTCTGATTCAGAGGAGGACTTGGAATGAGGGGTATCATTGTTGATATCCCATGGATCTTGGTTGAAAACAGAGAATATTAGAAAGATGTGTACCTGTGTTTTATTGATCAAGCGAGGCATTCAATTGTATAGATGTTGACAAATTACAGTAACAGTATGAAGAATTCACAGTATAGAATATTTAATTATTTTGTTGTTGTTGTTAGGTGCCATCGAGTCAGTACCAACTCATAGCAACCCTATGTACACTGCCCAGTTGTGTTCCCACCTCACAATTGTTCCTGTATTTGAGCCCGTTGCCTTAGCCACTGTGCCAATACATCTCATTGGGGGTCTTCCTCTTTCTCATGGACCCCTAGTCACGTGTACATAGACCAAGAGGCAGTTGTTCAAACAGAACACGGTGACTCCGAATAGTTTAAAATCAGGAAAAGTATGTATCAGGATTAAATCCTTTCACTATACTTATTCTGTGTGTTTACTGAGCATATAATCTAAGAAGCTGAGCTATATGAAGAAGAACAGGGTATCAGGAATGGAGGAAGTCTCATTAACAACCTCTAATATACAGATGACACAACCTTACTTGCTGAAAGTTACTAGAAGCACTTACTGAAGAAAATCAATAAGTACAGGCTTCAATATGGATCATTACACCTCACCATAAAGAAAACAAAAATCCTCACAACTAAAGCAATAAACAACATCATGATCATTGGAAAAAATATTGAAGTTGTCAAGGATTTCATTTTATTCAGATCCACAATCAATATTCATGGAAGCAGTAGTAGAAAATCAAACACCGTTGGGCAGACCTGCTGTAAAAGATCTCTTAAAAATATTGGCAAAGAATATTAAATATACTATGGACTACCAGAAGGAGCTCTGGTAGCATAGTGGTTACTAATTGGGCTGCGAATCTCAGGGTTGGCAGTTCGAAAGTACCAGCTGTTGTGCAGGACAAAGATGTGGCTTTCTGCTCCCGTAAAGATTTACAGCCTTGGAAACCCTGTACAGGGTCACTATGAGTCAGAACCGACTGCACGGCACATCACAACAACAACCAGAAGAATAAGGAGCTCTGGTAGCATAGTGGGTTATGAGTTGGGCTGCTAGCCTCAAGGACAGCAGTTCGAATCTACCAGCTGTTCCTCAGGAGAAAGAAAAGGCTTTCTGCTCCTATAAAGATTGACAGCCTAGGAAATGATGATACACAGGGTTGCTGTGAGTCCGAATCAAATTCACACACATCACCACCACCACCACCACCACCTCCACCAGAAGAAAGGGCAAGTCTATCGTGGAAGAATTACAGCCAGAAGACTCCTTGGAAGTGACGTGGTGGGATTTCATCTCACATATTTGGATAAATCATCAGAAGAGACAGTGCCTGGAAATGGACATCATGTTTGGCAAAGTAGAGGCTCAGCAAAAAGACCCCCAATGAGACGGAGTGTGTCAGTCACTGTGAGAATGGACTTGGATGTCGGAAGGGTTGTGAAAGTTACTCAGGAGAAAGCAGTGTTGTCTTCTGTTGTACTTAGGGTCACTGTGAATTGGAATAGGCTAACAGCCCCAGCAACAATAAAGAGGGATTGACAAACTGTAGCCCATGTTCCAAATCTAACCCCCATCTGTTTTTGTAAATAAAATCTTATTTGGAATACAACCAACTCATTCCTTTAGATATTGCCTAAGGCTGCTTTCACGCTATAGTGGCAGAGTTGAATTGTGCGAGACATACCAGATGGCCCACAAAGCCTAAAATATTTACTCTGTGGCCCTGGATAGAAAATGTTTCTTGATCCCTGGGTCAAAGTGACATAATAACCACATACAGTGTGTGTACCTTGATTGGTTCCTGGATCTGGAAGAAAAAATGAAAACATCTATAAACACAGTTTGAGGCCAAGTTTTGTTGGTGTTAAGTGACATCGAGTCAGTTCCAACTCATAGGACACTGGATAGAGTTTCTGAGAAGCGGTCGGTGGGTATGAACTGCAGTCCATTGCTTATCCTATAGTGTCACATCAGAACTGTTAGGGCCAAGTAGACAAATTTAATAAAAGACTGCAAGTTAGATGACGTTCCTTAAATCATGTTAATTTTTTGAGGTGTAATGTTGTTTCAAAATGTCCTTCTAAAAAGTTGAGTCTTGGAGTATATCTGGACTATATCTACATTTGCAAATAATTCAGCCAAATTGAAAAAAAAAAAAAAAAAAAGGAAGGAAGGAAGATAAAATATACCGAGAAGATACAGCCAGTGTGGTAGAACATTAATAATTGGTTAGTTTAGGTAAAGGGTATGTGGACATTCATTGTACTGGTTTTTCCATTTATCTGTAGATTTGAAGATTTTCAAATAAAAGTTGTAAAGATTTTAATTTTGACAGCATTAGAGTGGATTCAGTTAGAGAACAGCTGCAATTGTCCTTCACACCTGTCTAACTTAGCGCCATCTTTCTCCCTGAGTGGAGAAGTGGTTGACTCTCCCCATCAGTGACCAGACTTAGCATAGTCTACTCTTTGTAACTTGGGGATTTTGATTGTTGTCTCTTTTACACAGTAATTCCATCAAGCTGGTGAATCTCCTCTCCATATTTATCAGCACTTGGTTAACAGCAGCCGGCTTCATCCACTTGGTAAGTATCTTGGAAGACCCCTCCACTCTGTTTTTTCTGAAACAAGTGCTTCCGTGGGTCACCTTATTACCCGAAATTTATCCCTCTGGAAAGGAGCTTCAGACCAGCTGTAGAATGCAGGAAAAGGGGAAGCAACCACACAATTGTCTGGCTTTCCAACCCCTTTATCCTCAATTAGTTCCAAACGGTGAATGATGTTTTGTCTATTTCAGTTCCCCAGTGTAACAGTGGACTTTTGGTAGGTTTCTCATCTTGCATGCAATAATCTGAAGCAACCACAAGATGGCAGTGCTTCCTCAGGAAACGCCCAGAAAAGGCCTGGGTAGAAGATCCGGAGTTTGACCCACACAGCTGGCTTAGCAAACAACAAATTCAGACCCCTCGGTTTCTCTCCACCTCGCCTTTACAAAAAAACACCTTTGGTTCTTTGGCACCTCAAAAATAATAATTCTTTAAAAATTAATGACTCTTCAAAAGTCTTAAGTCAAGCTGTTCTCACCTTCCCTTGCCTTTAGGGAGCATGGGTATGTGGGAAGCATGTTTCATATGAACACAAGTTGTTATCACTGGAAGAAGTCCCATTTAGCTATGAAGCTGTACGTCTGTTTCTATAAGGAGACCTCGTTGTTGCTACCATGAAGTTGATTTAGACTAAGGCAACCCCTTGTGCCCATGTGTGCAAAATGTCCCTGTGTTCATAGGATTTTCAGGGGTACCTCGCCATGCATCTCCTGAGGCACCTCTGGGTGGATGCGAACCATGAACCTCTTCACCACTTGTGGAGCACGTACCCATCTGTGCTACACAGGACCTTTGGGGGATGGGGGGTGGGGATGGGAGGAGGTTCACAGTTATTTTCCAGATGAACACAGGCCTGCGCGGGAAGCTGAGAGGCACTGGCGGCTCGCCACCTAGCTCTCATTGTACCAATGGGATTCTTGTCTGAACACTGACGAATCACCCCAACTCTTGCTGCAACCAAGTGCCAAGGGCTAAAAGCAAACATGTTGTTGTTAAGTACTGTCGAGTTGGTTCTGATTCATAGCCACCCTGTAGAAGGTTTTTGAGGAGTGATTGCTGGGTTTGAACCACTGACTTTGTGGTTAGCAGTCCAGCCCAGTGCTTACCCTACAGCGCTGCACCATGGCAGGGCTCCAAAAGCATGCACACAGTGGAGTTAATGCACTTTAGGAGGCAAGTGAGCTCAGTTCACAGAGCTGTTATGTGAACATCTCCAGGGAAATGGCAGATTGAGGACAAAGGTTGATGTGTGACAAAGCCTGGTGGCAGAAGTAGAGGCTAGCCACATGGACAGGCCACCTGAGTGGACCATCTACTGGGCAGCAGAGCTGGGAGTGTGGGATAGTGGACAGGAGTCAGCCCAGCCCCTCGCTTGCTCCTGAAGATCTGGTCACCTCCAGACAGAGACACAGTGGCTCTCCTGCCAAGCCCACAGCGTTATGGGCAGATCAGATACAGTGGAATGATAATGAAGTGTTTCATAAAGCCTCAAGCAAGGGTAGGAAAATTAGTCCTTGAACCAAAGCGGGCCATCTCCAGGCAGAGTCCTTGGGTGGCATAGGGACTTGACTACTACTTAAAAGGTTGGAGATTTGAACCCACCTAGAGGCCCCTTGGACTTTGGTAAGCATTAAACTGCAAACCATAAGGTCAGTGGTTCAAACCCACCAGCTGTTCCAGGGTCACTATGAGTTGGAATCAACTTGATGGCACTTAAGAACAACAGATGCCCCCTGCTTCTGCAAGGTTACGTCCTGGGAAGCCCTGTGGAACCCCTCTGCTCTGACCCAGTAGGTAGGGGCGCCATGAATTGTAGTTGACTTGCTGACAATTGATTGATGGATGCTTTCACACTACTATGGCAGAGTTGAGAAACTGTGACAGAAAGCCAACCTGAAAATCTTTACTCTTTGGTCTTTTATAGACAAAGTTTTCAGGCCCCTGGTCTAAAGGTTGGTCAAATGCAAATTGCTTTTCCTACCCGCATGGGAATTCTTGAAGGGTGGACCTTCTGCGGAGATGCTGAGGAAGGGAGGCCACCTCTGAGAGATGCTCAGAAGTCCATTTAGGATATGTAATCATTATCCAAAGACCAATGCCCAGCCATGAGCAGTTGGAGTTCTTACATTTCAGCAATTCTGTTTGTATATAATTTTATTTTCTTGTTCTCTTCTGTCCTTTTAGGTGGAGAATTCAGGGGACCCATGGGAAAATTTTCAGAACAACCAGGCTCTGACTTACTGGGAATGTGTCTATTTGCTCATGGTCACCATGTCCACGGTCGGCTATGGGGATGTTTATGCAAAAACCACACTAGGCCGCCTCTTCATGGTCTTCTTCATCCTCGGGGGACTGGTAAAAACTCTTTATTATGATTTAGACTTGTATGGTCATTAATGTTTTCTAGTATACATTTCCTGAAAGCATTGTAGTTTCATGTGGTGTGTTAGAAGTCAGTGATTGTCTTAGTGTTACAATCTGGCTAAGTCAGTACATGCACACGATGGCTCCTCTGCATGTACTCCAGTGTGTTATTTTCCCAAAGACTAAGGAGAGGTGCCATCTAATTGCACTGCTTTTGCTGGGGACAACTATAGAGCCAGGAGCACCCATGATAGTCTTAAGAAAGAGATATTGTTAGTAAGTGGTGAGTTCTGCCCCTTAACCATGGAAGTCAGGATCTTGTATTCTGCAAGGACACTTAGAAGTGACCTGGTAGATGATTTTGATACTTTGTAGACAGTTAGTGGTTTCAAGAACACCCCTGCCTCCCACGTCATGCCCCATTCTACACTTCCAACAAACACTGTGACCGGGGCCTGCCCTAGAGCCTCAAAAGCCCAGCAGAGGATGGTGAACACAGGGAGCTCATCCACACGGACATTGCCTATGAGCCAATAAAGTTTCACAAACAGCCAGCTCCCTCATGCAGCCACACACCCAAAATATTTTCCCACCACCTTTGCAAGCCAGAAATTCAAAAAAACATTTTGGTCTAGGCAGATCGCTACGTAGCTCTCAAATGTCGGTTATGATGTAATATTCAAAGGGGATTTCTGGCAATACGTTGATGGCTGCTGCATTTTGTCTTTCAAAGCCACTCAACTTGAGCTGAGAATTCCTTTTTTTTTTTGCTGTGTGTGTATGAGCTAAGTGAGTCATTTATGTGCACTGCACGTGCATGTATATTTCTTTATGCATACACATCTGTCTATTTTGTATGCATGAAAGATACATTAAAATGTATAGAAATGTACATGTGCTCGTGTACATGAATATAAATGTTTCTCCAGCATTTTAGAAGTTCCTTCTAGATAATGCCACCCAGTTATCAGAAAGCAAGAGCCTAGGAGTATCCAGCCACTAGCGAGATGTTTGTTGGACAAAACATGGCAACTTTGACCTCCTTCCCTGTCTTCTTTCCCTCCCATGTGATCACCTGAATTTACCTTGTGTGCTTTTTTTAGTAATTTTTTTTTTTCATAGAAAGGTGTATTTTTGAATGTTTTCCTTTCAGTGTTGATTGTCTAGAAATTCGTAAAGAATCCTCGTGAGTGTTGATGAGAAGGAACCGCCTTCACAGCAGTCTGTGTGTGTGCGTGTGTGTATGAATGTAGTTTCACTAGCATGCATCCCTGTAACTTTCTTCTCTTCAGAAAGAAGAGTTAGATGCCAGTTTATTTATTCCTACCGCACTGGGACTTTTCTCAACTGCGTGCTTTGTTTTTGTTAGCTGTCTAGATTGATTCATATTTTGTTTTGTCCTGTGCATTTCCAGGATCTTACCCTTTTTGTGTGCTTATATTTATTTTTTAATAATCAAATATATGAATATATATACCTTCATAGTTCTAATCCTTTTGTGTTTTCAGATCTTAGTGTCCGCCCCCCCCCGCCCCCCCACTTCTGAAAAGTTCACCCCTTTCTTTGGCCTGTCTTTTTAGTATCTCTTCTGTCTCCTATCTTTTCCTCAGGCCATGTTTGCCAGCTACGTCCCTGAAATCATAGAGTTAATAGGAAACCGCAAGAAATATGGGGGCTCATACAGTGCGGTTAGTGGAAGAAAGTAAGTATACCAAGAAGTTTTCCTGCCTGCATCATGGGAGAATTTCTCTGCATGCTATTTTTTTTTTTTTTTTTGCTCTTGTTTCTTTGTTTCATGCATGTAGGCAATGTTTGCCCGCTACGTGCCCGAAATTGCTGCTCTGATCCTGAACCGGAATAAATTCGGCGGGACTTTTAACAAACATGGCGGCAGAAAGTAAGTCAGTTGCATCAGAAAAGACTTGGTTGAGTGACTTTCATGAGTCCGTGTGGTGGAAAGGCCTGAATCCAGACTTCTATGAAAAAAGAGTTACATTCTGCGTGGGGTGTGTTTTCAAGGGTTATACTTGGACCACCTACGTAGGCCTTTTCACAATTTTCTTCCCATCCATCTTTTCCAAGAGGAATACTGATTTCTCCTGGAATGGGGATTCATCTATAACTAAGCCCATGCTTTTCTGACTCCTAGCAAGTGGACCAAGATCATTTGTTCTTCATACCAACTGACTTAGTGGTTGACTGTGGTCTTCCAAAGTAATGTGATGCCATGCTCTGGTGACCTTCTACAGAGGGTGGGATCAAAGTCTTCCTACTGGAAAGGCATTGTGGTCCTCAGAGAACCAGTTCCCCTCTTTAGCCAAGAGACACCAATTGTGTCCTCAGAGTGGCCCATTGAAATTCCTCTGACCCAGGACAGTTCTGTTAGTGGTATGTCTGGGCACTGCGCAGTGTTCCCGATGAATGACTTGTTGGGCTTCCCGAACATGACTGTGCTTTTTCTGGAGACTCTCCTTTTGTTCTTGTTGTTGTTGTTGTTAAGTGCCATCGAGTCGGTTCCGACCCATAGCGACCCTGTATAGGGTTTCTGAGGGTGTAAATCTTTACGGGAGTAGAAAGCCTCATCTTTCTCCCGTGGAGCAGCTGGTAGTTTCGAACCGCTGACCTTAAGGTTCGCAGCCCGATTCGTAACCACTACGCTACCAGAGCTCCTAGGAATGCCATTATATGGGCCTTATGTAAGTGGCAGAATGTTGCCATGTGAGTGCTCTGTTGGTAAACCATTCTGAGAGAAGATGTTAAGGGAGAGGCAGAGTGGTGTTTTTGAGACACAATTCACACGCAGTCTAGCATTTAAATCTTTAGTGGAGAGCTTGAAGACTCTTTCCTTGTGCTCACACCCCATATCTGGCAACACCCCAGAAAGTCCGTTCCAGTCCCTTGGCTGTCATGGAAGTTTTATGGTGGAAATGTCTCCCCATAGTTTATTTCAAAACAAACTCTAGAATAACCTAGTTTGTTTGTTTACATAAAAAAAAAAGGGAATAAAATAAAGCCAATAGCCTTTTCCCCAGTCGTCTGCTTGTTGCGGACTGGAGGCCACATTACATGGAGCCAGCCCCCCGTCTTCTGTTAGGACCCCCGCGCATCCTGGGCTCAGGTGTCCAGACCTCTGTTAGCAAATGAGGAGGTGGGAAAAGAGGTTCATTTTGTTTAACTACCCACACGACGCCAGTTTCCTTTCCAAGGAACAAAGGACAGTGTGCAAAAGGAAGCCAGTTGGCTTTTTGTCAGTAGAGGCTACACACTCCTCTAATGTATTCCTCCTCTTCCTATTATCTTCACAGCCCTGATGAGGTTAGGACCAAGCTGTTCCAATATCTGGACCACTGGTTGGATCCAAAAGGCCAAATAAGTTCAGAGACATCCCTTGATAACCTCTCACATGCCAGGAGAAAACAGCTTGTCTGTTCATTGGGGCTTTAAGATGGGGACAGGTCGCTATCAAACAGAATGTATTCTGAGGGCCTGAGCTCTCTTTGTGGCTTCCCAACTCACAGTGTAAGCCAGCATTTCCTTGTCCCTGCCCTTGAAGAAGTCAATAAAATTAATTGCTCTGAAGTCTGTGTTGATAATACTTCTTGACGAAGACTCCAGGTAATTTTTTTCCCCCCAAAAGCTGTTTGCCGGTCCAATGTGGGTGGGCATGGTAGCTGGCCGCTTTTGTTGATGGGCGACCAGATGAGGCCCTCAGCTCGACACTCACTCACCAGTCCTTGGTCTAGCCCAGTCATCTTTTCCGCCTTGTCACTTAGACCCCCACATGCTGGGGACTTCAGATCACAGACTTCCTGCAGCTTTTGTTCTTGCTTCATAATCTTTTATCACGGTTGTAAGTCTGGTTCACTCTCTGTTTTTTCCCTTCTTTTATGAAAATGCACACTTTGCTTTTAATGTTCTCTTTGGGTCTCCGATGTCCAGGGACCCCTCGGACAGAACCGGTTTCTGTCATCAACACTGGGGCTGTTGGCTTTACTTTACGCATTGTTTCCTGGTTCAAAAGCTAATTACTGGGTAGTTTAAAGAAGGCCTTTGGTCACTTAGATCTTTCATCAGAAAATACAAGCTTGGGAAGGGAACGGTAATACAGGGCCATTAGCACCCTTTGTTTGATGTTGTTTTTCCAGTCAGTAGAACAAGATTGATGAAATGTTATGTTTGGCCAAAATTTGAGTTTTCATTTGGAATTCAGTGTTGAGAGAATGGGCTGTCAGAATCAATAACTTTTCTTTCGCTTGGGATATGGGCATGTGGTACTAATTAGCAATATAAGGTCTTTAGTTGAGCAACCAAGCATGGATTCTGGCAGCAAACATAATGAGAAACTACAGTTGTTCTATTTCTAACGTCAAAAAGTTTCCAGATAAAATTAAATGCATTTGCAAAATGAAAGCAGCTAAACTTTGTTGAAAGATGGAGTTCAGACCCTTAAAATAGCGTGCTGTGCTCCACGTTTTTGTCTGTGCATAAATGTGTGTGCTGTCCTCATGATCACAAATATGTGCACTCTTCTTCCCAGGGTTTAGTCAGATGAATGCCCAGAGAGTCATTAAAACAAATACCTACAAACATAAAAACAAAATAAAGGGATTTATCTATGTGTGCATATTGTATTCAAAAATAACCTCTCTAGCAATACATTAATTTGTCAGACAACTCAAGGTAACTCGCAATCCCAAACTACAGATTATTTAGAGTACAAAGATGAGGCAGAGAAGCTGGGGATTTTGTTGATCGTGCTATCCTATTTCAGGATATTGGAGAATATAAAGGTTTCCCTTGGCACCTGATAGTCACTGTTAATTTACATGTGTTTCATAGTGTAAACACTTCTTGATGCAGCCGCAGAAATATCTTCATCATCAGCACGTTCTCAGTAGCTTAGAGTGAACTGTCTCCAATGTTTTTATTAATACTCTCCCCTGACCATCCACAGGGCATCTCAAGCCAGCGGTATATTGGTGGGTGCACAGCTGGGCATCAGGATTTATTAAAGCAATGTACTGGGGCTTTGAGATTAATAGGTATTTTAGTATACAAAGGGGTCCCCAGGTAGTGGATTATTTAAGCACTTGGATGTTAACCAAAAGGTTGGAGGTTTGAATCCACTCAAAGGCACCTAGGAAGGAAAGCCTACCTACTTCATAGTCGTTGACAGTGTGAAGGCACACAGTTCTACTCTCACACATGGAGCCGCCCTGAGTCAAAGGGGACTCAATGGTAAATGGTGTAGGTTCAGTGAAAGACGAAGGTCTCTCTGAATTGAATTTTGAGGACACTTAACCTGTTGGGCTGAGACCCTGAGTCTTATTCCAAAGAGTAGCTCCTTCTGCAGCTCAGGCTGTGGGGAACGTGAAACTCTATGGCCTTTGAGGTCCCTTTCCTCCCACAGCCCCTTGCAGTTCTCCCCAGAGGTGACCTCTGTGAGTATAACTCTGCCCATTCCTGTTTGTGTTTATGAGAACTAACTGACAAGATCCAGGTCTGAGGTCACAGGGACAAATCCATTTCCCTTCATCACCTCCTTAGAAGTGGCAGGGCTGGGATTCCTCCAGAACTTGTGTTTCCCATGACTAGGTTTTTGTGGCCCCAAACTCAGGTAGTCCTAGATCAAGTGATTGTGCTGAGTGAGAATGGGTTGAGTTTCCATACTTTGACTGGTTCCTTCCTGGTAGCCAAATGCCGAAAAGACACATAGAAGAGAGAAATGACTAACAAAAGGCAAACTATTGAGTTGATTTCGACTAAGAGTGACCTTGTGCAACAGAGAAGAAATGCTCCCATAGGGTGTCCTGTTGTTGTTATGTGCCGTGGAGTCGGTTCTGACTCATAGTGACCCTGTACAGGGTTTGCGAGGCTGTAAATCTTTACCGAAGCCAATGACCACATCTTTCTCCCACAAGGTGGCTGGTGGGTTCTTAACCACAACCCCACCAGGACTCTTTACTAAAAGACAAGGAGTCGATAAGGGGTTAGCAGGAGTAGGAATGGGATGACCTTGGAGAAAGGTCCCCAGGATGAATGAATTATGAGAATAATGATCACAGACCAAACTAGTGCTCATTCTAACTAAGACAACTTTGTGTAAAACTTAATGCTGTGCCTTCTAGAACACTACCTGATACGGCAGAAAAGAGTGACACATCCTTCTGGAAAGAGTGTGAATCCAAGGACAATGTGCACCATGAAGTTAGTCCATCACATAAGGATAAACATTATGGGAGACCACTATTGGAGCTCTGGTAGCGTAGTGGTTACGAATCGGGCTGTGAACCACAAGGTCAGCAGTTGGAAACTACCAGCTGTTCCGCAGGAGAAAGATGAGGCTTTCTGCTCCTGTAAGGATTTACAGCCTTGGAAACCCTGTACAGGGTAGCTATGAGTCGGAACCGACTCCACGGCACATAACAACAATGACCGTAAACATCGAGAAGAAACATTCTCTGAAGGTTACAAAGGGTAAGCGAGGGTAGGTTACTGACTGGAGGGTAGACACTTCGTTAGCTTGGGGGAAGGAGAAGGTAATATACAATAAGAGGAAGGTCACAAAACAATGGTGGAGACAGAAGACACTGGGAGGAGTGCAAAGTATGAAAAGCCAGCACGCTCCATACTCCTGGCTGCCTTATATGGTGGTAATTTTAATAACTACCCCTGGGACCCTGTGAAGAAGGTCCTGTTCAT